GTAATAGCTTTTTATAAGTTTGTGCATGTATATTTGAATTTGCCCACACATCTTGTTCCGAGTGAATTTTCTTTGTCCTATAGTTCCATATACATATAAAATGGGTATTAGACGTATAAGTGTAAGGTGAATTAAAAATCTAAGGCGTCCAGACAATATGACAAGTAATGACATCAATATTACTGTCATTACTTCCTTCGGTAATGACATTCTAAATCTCCCCACATACAAATAGCCTTGTCGCACTATAGCCGCCATTCTTTGATTCCAGCTACCACATTGTCAGTGGTAATGACATTATTTTATCGTAATATCATTGTTATCTGGTCCCATTACGCTTAAAATTGTGCAGAAAAACTAATTTAGTCCAAGTTCCTGGTCACTTATTAACAACGCATGTTTCAAAGAACCCATATAAATTGTTTATCACTTAAACATTAATATCATAAAAACTAGAGCCAATTCATTACTTTTGTTAATACATTCGTAAATTGTATGCTTCAAAGTATATAATTCCGAAGAAATAACCAGGGCAACAAAAAAAAATTTTTTTTTGTTGAGCTGTGTAATACATTGAAAAAATCAATTAATAAAATAAATGTTAAGGGTGAAGAAATCACCGATGTGAATGTTATTGTTGAATTGTTTAGCAAGCACTTCATTGCGGCCGATGATACCTCCCCTAAGTCAAAGAGTAATTACCGCCCCACAAATCCCCACCCTTACAGCATCTATCTTGCACCTGTTGATGCAAACGAACTTAAAAAAATTGTAATTAACTTTAAGAATAAAAAAAGTTGTGGTTTCGACAACATACCCATTGAAGTCATAAAATATTCTTTGACATTTATAAGTGAACCTCTTGTGTATTTATTGAATTTGATGATAGAAACTGCTGTTTTTCCTGACGAATTAAAGAAAGCCAAAATAAAACCATTGTATAAAAAGGGGAGTAAAGAAAATGTCGAAAACTACAGGCCCATAGCGTTACTGTCTTCTTTCTCAAAAATTTTCGAAAAAGTTATTTACAATAGATTGATACAATATTTAAACAAATTTAGCTTGCTCAGTAAAAATCAATTTGGATTTCAAAAAAATAAATCTACTATAATGGCTATTTTTAAGGTTTTAAATCAAATATGGAATTCATTGGATAACAAGATCCCATGTGTGGGACTGTTCCTTGACATGTCGAGGGCTTTTGACTGTGTTGCACATGATTTACTTATACGCAAACTAGATAGCATAGGTATCCGTGGTGTGGCGTTAAAGCTCTTTGAAAGTTGCTTGAGGAACAGAGAACAGTCGACCGTTGTGGATTCATTTGACAGTGTAAATAAGAACTTCTATGAAGTAAAGTCTACATCTGTCAAGATGACAGTTGGCTTGCCACAAGGAAGTATTCTGGGACCCATTTTGTTCTTAATATATGTAAATGAACTTCCTAACATCATAAACCACTTATGTGTTTTGTTTGCTGACGATGCAACAATATTTATCCCAGATACTCAAAAAAATGGTCATCTCTTTGAAAGTTGTATAAATGATGTTTTAGAGAGGTGTGTCGATTGGCTTAACTCATTGAATCTAAATGTTAATCTCACTAAAACAAAGTTCATACAATTCAGAAATTATAAAACAGTTCCTTATAGCTTAAACATTGCTGAACATGAAACAAAAATAAATTCAGTAGACGAAATAAACTTCCTAGGAGTAACACTCGATGCTCATTTAAACTGGAAGGCGCATATTTCTAATATAAATAAAAGAATATCCGCCTCTTGCTATGCTCTTTCTATACTTGCAGAAACAACTTCTATAGAAGTGACTAGGGCTGCATATTACGGACAAGTTTACCCATTGTTAACATATGGAATAATTTTCTGGGGCAACTCTGTTAACGTCCAGTCTACTTTTATTCTTCAAAAAAAGTGCTTACGAATTATATACAACATGTACGCAGACGAAACAGTAAGAAATATTTTTAAGGATAAGGGTTTTTTAACTTTGACTAACATATATATATTGGAAATAGCAATTTTTGTAAAGGTCAATAAAGAATATTCTACAAAAAAGGCTGCCACTCGTACAAATATTCGTGATAGATATAAATATGACATATGTGTACCAAATATAAACAGTAACATTTACCATAAGAGTGCCATAGCTACGGGCATAAAAATTTTCAATAATCTGCCTACAGAAATCAAAGTTATGGAAATGCCTAAATTCAAATCAAAGTTGAAGTCTTGGCTGATGAAAAATGTGTTCTATAACCTAAGTGAATTTTTTAGTATAAAGCATGTATAATTTATAAAAAGTTATTGTATAATTTATATTCTAAGTTACATACTAAGAAAATTATTATAAGTGCGGTCGGTAGCACATCGGACTATACGTGTTTGTTGCAAAGTCACCAGTACTACGTCGAAATAAGTTTTTGTCTCGATGTGGCATCGTCTGTACAATTTAATATTGCATGCTCAATATGAGCAATCTGTTGTAACGAATTTTATGCCTTAACAACTGCAAACTGTACACAGAAAAAGCAATAAATACATTCTATTCTATTCTATTTTATTCTATTCAGGATTATAGTTCTCGTCAATACAAATAAAACGAGCCCAAACTCGATAGGCCTGTGTCGTTTTATTGCGGAGTTCCTATGACTACCTTACAGCTCCATCATCAGATCAGCTCCGTGTTATCATAATATTGCATTGTCATCCGACTTACACATGCATGAAAAATTCCAGCTCAATAGAAAACCGGGAAGTGGGTCAATTTTAAGTTGCAAGATTTGACGACAGACACCAGACATGTGAAAGTAATAAAAAGCTTGTAAATAAATAAATATGAAATAATCAGGATAGAAAAGACAAAAAAAAAATGTCGGTACTTACACTTCGTTTTGCAGGCGTTTTTTTCAGATCCCACTTCTGAGATATGATAAGGCTCTATCATAAACTCAGAAGGACAGCGGGTTGTTGAAATACGAACACGAAAATACTTCACTCTTGATTTATTATAACTTCTTCTTATAATAGTTAGGCACAGTAATTATTACAATAATAAGTAGGTAACAAGATATCCGATACAGTGGTTAGGACAATGTTAACGGTTTCGATTCTGCAGCGAGACTGCGCTCCTCGACACCGTTACCCATAACGAAAACTTCCCCTACCGCAATGCGGCGGACGTCGCATTGACCAAGATGTTCCCGCCTTGGCCAATGGGAAGTCAGCAACAATACTTAATATTAACTAAATACTATACTATAATAATAATAATTATGGACTGAGTAACAAAATTAATTAATGATTTATGGTACTATTTATACACATTAAATATTTGTATTTGATAGCGGAAGTAGTAAAATTAGGATACAAACGTTACTTTAAATGAACTAAATACAATATTAATTATAATGATCATGAATAAACTAAAATACATTTATTTAGTGAATTATAGTCATACTTATGTACATTACACATTAGTATTTGATGCCGGAAGTAGTTAAATTACGACACATTCAACTAATTTCACCACTTTCAACGTTCATCTGTACTTTTCTCTCGCTCGGGAGCATGTTTTATCCTACCTACCCTGTTTTTTCCCTTACATTTTAATTTCTATATTATGTATTTATTTGTGTTGTCTCAATTTATGTTGTCTTTTTTGTTTTAGGTACTCACACAAATAATTTTGCTTTTAATTAGAAATGTAAATACTTTTGTTTTTTGTAAACCCTGTTACACTTTGTCAAAGCTGTTTACGTGACATTGGCGAAATCATGGTTCTCAATACCAAGTCGTTGCCAAAATAAAAGAAGAAGAAGATCTTTGAGGTATCCTTCCGTTTGGCCAAATTACTTTTCGCCAAATTTCACTTCGCAAACAACTTATCGCCAAAGTTTCATTTCCCAAATGAACTTTTAGCAACTGTACTTTTCGCAACAAATTCATTTGGTCAAATTATCATTTGGCAAAATTTTACTTGGCAAATGTTTATATGGCAAATGTTGTATTTTGCCAAATATTATATCCCAAATAATTTGTTTGGTCAAATTGACACTTCACATACTTACCCACCGTTACCCACAAATCAAAGCATAAGGCAGATGATCATGGTTTTCACAAGAATTTTATGTGAAACAAAGAGATTGCAGAAAATAGTATGGTTGCAGAAAGTAGGTATCGCAGAAAATAGTAGGTTAGGTTAGGTTAGAACAGTGACCTTTAACGCGCGAAGGCGAGCGAAGCGTGCCGCGGCAGCGGCCGCCGAGCGCTAGGATCACCTCTATTGTTTAATGAATCATTTGGAAATTTCGATAAAAAGAATGAAATATGAAAATTAATTTAGAACAAATTTTATATTATCTACCCACTAAACAAAATAATAACCACAAGTTAATTTGTAGTCCATTCTATGCGACAGTAAAATTATTTTGTAAATAGTTCATCGTGAAATATTTTTGCCAAATGAAACATTTGGCAAAACATACTTTGCCAAACAATAATTTGCTAAACAATAATATGCCAAAAACGACATTTGCGAATTAAAAGTTTGCAATACGTTGTTTTGCCAAATGAGAATTTGCCAAATGAAAATTTGCGAAACGTTGTTTGCGATGTGATAATTTGGGAAACGTTTTTTGGCCAAACATTAGTAATCCAGACTCTACCAAGATGCCTTCGTTGTAAATTGACAACACGTTACATACCTACCGTAGCACTTTGACAACGTGTGACTGCGGTTTTCCAAACATGAAAATTTATCTCTACATAGTGAATATTGCATACTTCAGAATAGTATTGTATGACATTATTGTCAATTTACAACGAAGGCATCTTGGTAGAGTCTACTGTGTCCATTTACTTGCAACTACATCAGCAACTTTGTTCAGTTCAGTATTATGAAAATTTTGTTTTATACTTTTTCACCGTCGTTTTTTGCAGTAGTTGGGTTTTAGTTTTTTTACTTATTTGCTAGTCAGTAATACTGTTTGTTTTGCAGATGGAAACTGACACCAAGAACTATAACATGTATAAAATGGGCTTTAGTCAAAAGATACTTTTAGCAGATGAAGCCGTGCCAACTAAATTTGATTGCCAAGAGGATCGCAAAAGACGGCTGTCCGGTAAAGGATCTTCTCGAAAAGTATTCCTTAAAAGGCAAAGAACTGATCTTATTACAGAATGTCTTCAAAATCAAAGTGTTACTGAAACTGAAAGATTACAAAAAGATGAAGTTATGACACAAATGATTGAACCTGAAGGTATATATTTGTCACAGCTATCATATTAGTACTTAAATGTTTATGTTATTCATATTTAAATTAAATAAATAATTGTTGATGTTGTCTTTTCAGAATTACCAAGAACTCAAGACAAAGAAAGTATCACCAATCCTATTATAACTCTAGAAAAATCTGTTCAAGTATCAACTAAAGTGATAAGGCATTATAGGAGCAAAGCTGTTCAAACAATATTATGTCAGAATAAAAGTATTTCCACCTCCCCATTTAAAGTTTCTACAACATCTCGTTTCACCTCGCCTTTTAAGCCTGAATCATGACGTCTTCAAGTATCACAATCAGGAGCTGTTAAAGTACCTATTTAAAAGAAATATTGGCCTTGAAGATGAAAAATCTGATAGTGATATTTCTTTGTTTGAAAGTGGTCATTCATCTCCTTTTATACCTACATCATCATCAAAGGTTACTGATTCCGATAGTAATGTGACTGATACCAATGAAAATATTGAACAATTACAATGCCTTAAAAATACTATGCGTTTGATTGAAAAGAAACCTTTGATGTATGTTGGTATAACCAAAGAATGTTATTTCCTAATTCAGTTAATACATAAGCACACAAATATAAAAGTGGAAAACATATTGCTATGCTTTGAAAAAATTAGATTAAACAGTACATTTTCCGAACTAGAGGATAATTTTGGAATATCATTATCTTATGCCAGTAAACTATTTGTAGGAAACATACCAATAATAAGTAGTGTTTTAAGACCATTCATTGTAAACTTGGATAAAAAAATTATTAAAAGTAATCTTCCTATTGCATTTAGACACAACTATCATAATGTCAGTTGCATTATTGATTGTCTAGAAATTGATATACAAAAACCATCTAAGGCACTTCATCTTCATCAGGCACTGAAATGGTCAGAATACAAAAAGGGGAATACTGTGAAGTATTTAATATCCTGCACTCCTAATGGATTGGTTAATTATGTTTCTCAAGGGTTTGGGGGTAGAGCAAGTGATGTTACGATAGTAGAAAACTGTAAGTTTCTAAATGGATTACAACCAGGAACCTGCATCTTAGCTGACAGAGGTTTCAAGCATCTTGAACAAATGCTTTCCACATGTAATTGATATCACACGCCTGCTCTGTAGATGCACCCACTCGCGAGAAATGCCTCGGAACCCAAGGTTTCACTTCGATCACCGTAGGGCGGACAGGTGTGTGGTATCTCTTGCACATCGCCAACCAACATGTACGGTTGGGTTGTTGAAATTATGTAGGTACAAAATATTGCTTTGTATAAGTTATTTTACATGCATACTTAGTTAAAATTATGTAAAAGACGAACTCCACCTTAACACTAGTTGATAAGTAAACTGAGACCAGCGCTGTTGGATTCATAATAATAATGTACATTATTTTATACTATCTTCTTTATATAAATTCTGATTGTGAATCTGTTTGTGGTCCTATGAAAATAAATGAAAAAAGAAAAATAAAGAGAAATAAATGTCTTAAACCATAAAAAAAAAATGAGAAGGGTATGAAACTATTAAGGCCACCAAGTGTAAGTGCTGGCACAAAGTTATCGAAATCTGAAGTTCGACAAACTAAAATAATAGCTAGCTTGCGAATACATCGCACACCTAGATCTAAACTGAGACAACTCAAAAATTGTCAATTTTGACTTATACTTGTATTCAAACACTCAGTTATCATACGCATCTTTCCAACATGACAGGTTTAATAAAGCCTTGATCCATTTGCCGCTAGATGGCAATAACTTACTTTTGTTGAATCAACGCTTGTCAACCCCTTCCATCTAAACAGGTGTTTTGTCAGTTGACCTTCGCTAATATTGGAGAGCGCATGTATTAAAATGAACGAAAACACGGATATTTAGATTTGTTACAGTTAACTACAAAGTTGTATAATACGTTAATTTGAGTTGTAGCAGTATTGGTGAATTGTTTTGCAAAAGTCAACCAGGATATTTTGACTTGTTCCAGTTTTGTTTGACAAAGTACCTTTAATTTTGTTACTATTTTGACTTGAGTTTGTTTTCATGGCACAACTTGTAAATTTCTAGTTAACCTACTTTTGCTGAAATAAATTTAATTTGAATGTTGTTTATAAAAAACGTATAGATTTGCACGTTTCACCTGAAAACCATGTACAGTGTGATAATGCCTGTTTCCAAATAGTATTATTTTTATTCAAACTATCTAACTGCTTTATTTGGGAAGATTTTTTTGAGTTAGCTTACTATTGTTGGATAAGTAAAATTTGCAATGGGTATTTTTTTATTTTTCGAAAAAAATGAAGCGGACTCGTTTTCTTGTAAAATTTTTTGAAGAGGGGTTAAAAATAATAAAAAAGACAATGTACAGACGACGGCACTTCAAGGTAAACACTGTAGTACCTTATGTAGTTGTAATACAAGAGTATAGTCTGATAAGCTGTTGTCTGTACAAGACACAAAACCTTCTTTATAATGTAGAAATATAAAATAATAAAGAAACAAGGTCAATAACCACTCCTCTGAAGGTTGGAGACACTATACTCGAAGTTGTTGACAATTATGTATACCTGGGACAAACAGTCCAGTTAGGTAGGTCCAACTTCGAGAAAGAGGTTAATCGTCGAATCCAACTCGGCTGGGCAGCGTTCGGGAAGCTTCGCGAAATTCTCACGTCCGAAATACCGCAGTGTCTCAAGTCAAAAGTATTTGACCAGTGTGTGTTGCCAGTGATGATGTATGGCTCTGAGACGTGGTCGCTTACTATGGGCCTCATAAGAAGGCTCAAGGTCACCCAAAGAGCGATGGAGCGTGCTATGCTCGGAGTTTCCCTGCGTGATCGAATCAGAAATGAGGAGATCCGTAGGAGAACCAGAGTGACTGACATAGCCCGCAGAATCGCTAAAATCAAGTGGCAGTGGGCGGGGCACATAGCTCGAAGAGCTGACGGCCGCTGGGGCAGGAAAGTTCTTGAGTGGCGACCACGAGCTGGAAGACGTAGCGTGGGCAGGCCTCCCACTAGGTGGACCGACGATCTGGTGAAGGTCGCGGGAAGTACCTGGATGCAAGCGGCGCAGGACCGGTCTTTGTGGAAATCCTTGGGGGTTATCTGACAGACGAATGAGATACACAGACGAATGAGATATACAGACGAATGATATTAAACGGAATGTTTAAATAGATAATATTTTCATTGAATTTTAAATAAAAATGTATAATTCTAAAACAGATTGCTTATTATAATACATCGTTGATGCGCGGGCATTTTTCGAGCCGCCAGTGTTGTCACACATAATTAATTTTTTTGTATCATTAATTTCATCCTGTTTAAGTTTATTTTGAGACAAAGTCACATGTAGTTTTCTTTATAAAACACAATTATATAACTACAAAAGGCTAATTTTAGACACGATCCCGTATTAATAAAAACTTAAAATATGTTATATTTACTTTAAATAGTGAATAAAATACATTTTAAGTTTTTATCAAAATATCAACATGTCGACAACGGTGCCTCGTAGATATTTTGTATTGCTCTTATAACATATCCAGCAATATATGTGATTATTTGGTCACAAAATTCTGTTACAGTCCTCTCAACTTAAGCTGAGAATTGCATTTGTGTGAGTGCACACCGATAGTTTGGGGTGGCAATCGGCTTGAAGCGCGGCGCGTCCCGCGCATTGTTTATTATAGCAAGCNTATGTTACAATATCATCAAGGATAAAGTAAGATTCTAACAGTGAAAGAATTCTTCTTCGGTCCAGAAGTTTAGGAGTATATTCAATACAAACAAACAACAAAATCTTTCCTTTTATAATATTAGTGTAGACATATAAGTATTTAAGTTGCCTTAGTAGCTTGATAAAAAAAAACAACTTCAAAAACAGTCTCGAAATAATATTATCTTTCCCAAAGACAAAAGCCAGCTTCCAAAACTAGCAAAAAAACCTTAATTCTCAAGAACGGCGAGGACAACTGGAAAGCGGAAAACTCGAAATAACAAGCTAAATAAACAAAAAATCTTTGAGAGACTTAAAAATGCACTTTTATTTGGGATCTGTGGCGATGCAACGGGCTTTTGGCAGAATAATGAAACGAGTTACACAATTAGCTGCTGAAACTAAAGCTTTAAATATAAAGGACTAGCTTTTGCCCGCGGCTTCACCCGCGTGAAATTTAGTTTGTCACAGATCGTCATATACAGTGTGAGTCACGTTAAAGTGTACATATGAAAATAGATTAAACTAGACCTATTTTTATCGACTATTTTATCAGGATATACCGCTTAGTTTAAAAGTTATTACGTTTTCTTTACAATAAGTAATTGGAAGAAAAAAAATAATAAAAAAATATCAAAAAATTTTTGACCTCTTTTTTGTCGATAAAAATAGGTCTAGTTTCATTTATTTTCATATGTACACTTTAACGTGACTCACACTGTATTAAAGCCTATATGTTATTCTGGGTTATAAACAATAATACTGTGAAGTTTCATCAAAATTCAGTAGTTTTTGCGTGAAAGAGTAACAAACATACATCCATCCAGACATTCAGACATTCAAACTTTCGCATTTATAATATTAGTATGATTTGCCACAATGGATGCGGTCTGCGGTGAGGTCGAAGTGAACGCTGCCCGCATCATTTAGTTAGCTCTTGGTGGAAGCGAACTTGTTTATTTAAAACAAGATCGTCATTCATCATCATCATCATCGTTTCAGCCATAGGACGTCCACAGCTGAACATAGGCCTCCCCCAATGATTTACAGTTTTACACACAGGCCGGTTGGTGGCGGCCTGCGTCCAGCGACTTCCTGCTACCTTTATGAGGTCGTCGGTCTACCTTGTGGGTGGACGCCCTACGATGCGCTTTCCGATACGTGGCCTCTACTCCAGAACCTTGCTGCCCCAACGGCCGTGCCGGCCGGCTTTTATAATTGAAAAAACAAGACGTTATACTAAAGTACGGCCAACGAGAAGTGATACCAAATGTAAACAAACCCAATGTCATGGTCATTTGGAATAGCAGGGGTTTGACTTTGACATATTTTGGCGGGAGAACGAGACATTACGACAAATACACAAGATGGGAAGAGACAGAATAGATTGTCAGTTCGACAGTCGAATCGACCTTTTGTATCGCTACTAGTTGGCCGTACTTTACATAATATACTTTTTTCTATTTTTATTTCAATTCAGTTACATTTTATTACGCCATGGCGCAATTTTGAGTTAACTCAATAAGCCATGTATCTATTTGATTTGATTGGCAGGTAGTTGCTAATTGCTCATAAGATAGGCCCCNTTTAATTAATGACAGTTGTACTTTGTCAAATAATTTATGCAACACACCAAGGTTTTCAGCGTAGGCATCGCGTGGAGAGAAAATTATTTGGTTTTCCAGGTCCGAGTCCACGTAATGTGAACCGCAGCTAACAAGCTCGCGCCCGTAGACCAAAAATGATGGTGTAAACCCTGTCACCTCATTTACGGCGCTGTTTAACGCAAATTGAATCTTGGAAATGTTAGAGTCCCAAACCCTATGGTCGCCGTCAATAAATGTAGAAACTGCCGTCATTATAGTCTTATTATAAGCGTTCTACTGTGTTTATTTGTGGGGTGTATAAAGGGGTATAAAAAACATTTGGGATATTATAATTTTCAAATAATTTTTTCATCGTGAGGCTGGTAAATTGACGTCCGTTATCCATTAAAATAGTGCTCGGTACCCCGTGAATGAGAAATACTTTATCTTCAATTATCTTTGAAATAATATCAGAAGTTGCTCGACGAATGGGAAATAGAAGGCAATATTTAGAAAAGCAACACGTTATAACCAGCAAGAAGGTATTTTGCTTTCTAGATACAGGCAAGGGCCCAACAAGATCTACGCTCAACATTTGGAATGGCCTACTGCAATCTTTAGGCCTCCCCATTGTACCCAGAGTTGAGTGATTAGGGTGCTTATGCGAAAGGCAGGTATCGCAACTGGATACAAATTCGACTACATCATTGTGCATGTTTGGCCAAAAATAAGTTAAACTAACACGTTTATGTGTTTTAAAAATGCCGAAATGGCCTGACGTGGGTTCAGAATGATTTTCAAATATTATTTTCTGTCGTAACTCCAATGGAACTACCTCCTTCCACTCAAACTCCCTGGTTAAGGGGTTAACAGATTTAATGA